AATATGCCTGATTCATCTGAACATCTAATAGTAGAAAGAATCCTATAATAATAACTCATAACTTCACCATGCTGCCCTAGATTCTTGATTTTTAGCCACGATTGGAATGCCAATGGAGCAGGCAATCCGAGTTTGAATGATCACACAGGGTGAAATGTAACCACCTGTACATTACCAGAAAGAAAACCGATCTCCGATCTATATGAAACGACTGGAGCTAACCAATTCTAGCCAATTCCAGCATGACAGATAATTATGTCCTGAAGAGTGAAAATCAGACGTATTGTACTCTCAATAGTCTCCTTAGTTCCTAGATGGTTTCATAAATATCGCCGGTCAGACTATATACAATCAAAAATATTTTTGAAACAAGCGGATCCTCATCTGAAGAAAACTGTCATTTCAAGTATTCTTTGAATTAAATAGTCCATAATATAGAGAAGAATCATGCACATCAATAATAATCTTTATTAATTCCAAGAATCATATATGTTTATAGCAGGAAAAATTATGAAAGGAAGAACAACTTGAGAAAAGAAGTTAGATAATCAGATTATCTGTTGAAACAGATGTTGTATCTTCTGGGGAATATTGAATATAACTTCTTGAATCGATTCAGGATGATATAAAAGAATCAAGACATAAGTATTCTATCAGTGCTTTTTTAAATTTTTCAACACTCAATTTTTTTTTAGTCTGGCAGGTAATTCATTATAGAGAATTGTTCCATTGTATAAAATAGATCTTTCACCCATATCTGATTCAATTGTGATGAAAGTTACCATATCTTTTTGTCTGGATATTTTTGTTCGTGTTTATGACAATCGACTTCGAAATTCAGATTTGAATGTACATAATTATATTTGACAAAATGGATGAAATAGAATATTCTAAATTTGTAAATGAAGTTAATATCTCACAATTGCTAAGGTTAATAGGGATTTCTTGTTGGTTTCAAGTAATCTAGTTTGTATATACATTTAATAACTTTGTCTTGAAGGAATTTGATTGGCTCTATAATGAATGACCTAGCTGTACCCCAAACTGAAATCAAGTATTCTCATTATGAATATACCAAGGAAAAATATATACATTTGAAGTATTTCAAAGTGATTTGGTGTCCGATCCTGCAGAGTACTCCGATTACTGGAGATATTCTCTTTCTGATCGATTCAATATGTTTGGACCATATAACGAATGTTCATCAATAAGGAATATCCCAAGGAATTTGATGACTGTGAAATATTTGATGATTTTATTATCTTATTTCATATCGAAATTCAGTTCACTTGAGAGGCTTCGTTTAGAGATATACATAAATGCTGAGTTGCTGTAATTTATACTAAATTTATACAAGACAATCATGGAGATGGAACAATCAAATCACTTTCAATTGCAGTATGGACACACTGTATAGAATACAATGTTTGACAACGTGAATCTCGCAGCAAATGAACCTTACACATTCCTGGAAAACTTAATTTCGACAAAGATTTTTTTGTAGCTCACCAAAGTCCGCTCTCTGGAATGGCTTAGGGTTGACTGAACTCCGACTATATTGAGCAGTTTTTGTCCTGGACGTTTTTCGCTCTTTCGGTTTAATTAACGACGCCTGCAAAAGCCTGAATTGCAGTGCAATCTATCTGCCTGTGGACATATAGGAACGTTTCCAGAATTCCAGCATTGATAGACATATTTTTTTCTGGCGGATAATTGTTTGGATAATTGGAATCGCGATCAGACGATCAGAATGAGTCCAAAATAATCAGAGCAAAAAAAGTTATCCAATATTGTCCAGGAATGAAGCTTTGATTTTGAATACTGCTGGTGATATTTGATTCGTATAAATGATGAGTTTTCTTTCAACGTACTGCATCAGTTCGATTCATCCTCGGATTTATTCCTTTCTGAATATTTTCTCCACAATCAAGTCAAAAGACTTGGCTCCACTGACTGTTCGTTATACGTGAAATCAGATGTTCTTCTTGTACCTACCTGCTCGACTCTCTTCATTCAATTATCTACTTAACTTGAATACATCGTTTTGAACAACAGCTTCCTTTGCCAATCTTGACAGTTCCCCATTTGGAACACTCCACAAAAATTCGATAGGAATTTGTACCATTGGATGGATTCCTTTCTGTTGGCTGAAGACGAATGAAATCATTCATCATAAACGACTCAAACTCCATTCCTCTCCATTCAACCACATTGTGCCGAAGATAGTATGCATTAGGTTGCCATCCCACCAATTTCCTCGGAATCCTTCATTTTAATTGAGCGAACTAGTGAATATTCCACTCCTTGGGATCCACACTAATGACGTTTTTGCAGATAGGTTAGGCAGTGCGGTAGGTAGCACGAGATGAACTCAAAGAGAAAGAGCTTGGAGGAAGAAGATGATGATGATTCAATAGAGCAAGTTAACAGATTGTACATTAGCGTAGAAAATGGAAAATTGGAAGAGTCATAACTGATTACGCGAGGATGCGGGAATGAAAAGGTAATGTCCTTATAGTCAGTGCCTTCAAACGGAAATGTTCATGGTTCCTGAGTGCCTCAGATGAAAATGAGTTACAGACTAAAATACTGATAAGAACCGTTTCTTTCAAAAAGATTTATTCCAAGGTCTCAAGCTTTCATTATATCTAGCAAAAATATTCTGCATATACTGATGGTAATTTCAAGGTTGGTTCGAATCTTTGCATAGCTTCTGGGCATCGTCATTTCGATTCATAACGTTCTGAGTATGGTTGGTCATCTCATTGAGAATGAGAAACCTTGCTGCTCACTTTGGATAGAAATATCGTGGGGAGAATAACATTCATAATATCCAGAATACAAACCTACCCTTATAGCCAAGTAATCGCAATTGATAGTTATGATAAGTTATAGCAGATTGCACTAAAGCCATGATGGAAGAACAACATGAAAGCAAAATGATGTGATGTTCTTCAAAAAGTACTGTTTTCATCAACAAAGTCCTCAATCTAACTTCCGTTGAATAATTCAATTCATTTGCCTTATGATTGAGCCATTTACATTCAAATAATATATAATAATAATAATAATAATAATAATAATAATAATAATATCGACTTTATTATTTCTTGAGGAAAAACAAATACATAATTCTTTATTATTTTATAACCAAGAAATAAAAGGCGAAGTTCATTTTCTGCACTGCTAGGCATAACAGGAAATGCTCTTCCACTCAACCCTAAACAGAAACCTGTGACTGCTACATAATATTGTTACATTTTAATTCGAATACGAGCAAACAATGACATAATGGAGTGTAGTTTATTTATTCTGAGCAAGATATTAAATATATAACCTTGTTTCACTCAGACAAATACTCTCTAAATTTAGATTTGAAGTTTAAAAAATTCAGTTGTTTAAATGAGGGGGGAACAGAATTATACATGTGACAAATTCGGTATCTAAAGGACTGCCTGAACATTTCTGTCCTGAATTTCGGTATTGCGAGCATATTTTTTAGTCTAATATTCAAATTGTGAATGTCTGTCCGATATTTAATTTTCCTATGCAGATACGATGGTTTTTTTGTTATAACTATTTTGTGGAAAAGACAAACAGCGTGAAGTACCCTCCTTTTTTCCACGTTCAACCATCCAATTTCTTGTAGTTTGTACGAGATCCTTTGTCGGCGACGAATACCGAAAATTAATCTGAGACACGAGTTTTGAACTTTTTGAATTTTATTTTTATACTGACAAGTTAAACATGGACTAAAGAACATTTCCATAATTGAAAATTGAGAGTACTAAAGATTCACATAAGGCTTTTTTCACATCACTGATATCGAAATCATTTGGATATATCCTTGCTTGTTTGGAAATGTCATCTATTCCATTGAGTTCTTTGTATAATTTCAGCAATTCTGTATCTAAAAGAGACTCAGAGATATTTTTCAAATCATCATTAGATATTGAATGTCGCAGACAACTCATCTAATTTTGATTTATTGGATATCTATTGCTTTCATCTCTATTATGGGGAAACAATATCGAAATTTCGAATGATACGACACTGGCTGCTTACCTATGGAATGACGAGTTTTCATCATTAGGTTTGAATTGTCTTTCACACATCTAACAAAGTCTCACCATTGTAAAAAGTCAACGATCTTGTGTTATTACTTCACAATAGCCACACAAAACAGAACACAACTTCAGGAAATGAAAAAAATCCTCGGAAGATCCTTCCAAACGGAACGTAACCAAGATGACCAGAATATTCATGAATCACTATGGATTGATCATTGAGAATTTATTTTATTCCGAATCCGACTAACAAATTAATGCATGTGTTGAACTAGATTCACAGATAAAAATGCAGATGACGGGACATTGATCACTTTCATTTGATGCATCATGACAACACTGGCTGCGATTGGGAACTGATTGTTCTAGAATTGAATTGAATTGTTCTATCCGTCATTCGGTTGCCCCCTTACGAGCAACCCTCAAAAGTCTTCGAGAGTCTTGTGCGAGCAAGGAATGACGGGGGCCTTACCTTTTAACGTGTGATCCCAAACACTTTCTTGGGCCATCAGAAAAATTTCTCCAGTCGACGGGGATCGAACCCACGACCGGCAAGCGAATGCGAATTAGAATATAGACACTCTGTCCGCACGGCTACCTGGCCTCCCTGATATTATGGTTGTTATGCGAATTCATATAAGCATCAGAATATTCGTTATGTGATCCTTCTAGGAAGTTGGTTGTTTGGAGCTACTACTACAAACTCTCTGAGGGCTAATTTATGCAGAAAAATAATTCGGTGGGTAAAAAGTGACATCTCTCAAGTTTGCTTTCTGAGGCACCAAGTGGAGATATTTTAACATATTTCGAATATTTTATTTCACGACATGACCCGAGTAATATACCCAATTTCAGGATTTGTGCCTACTAAACAGGTTTTCAGAATCTGAAACCTAACCTGATCTTCTATTCTTTTACGAAAAGTCTACATACCGACTACGTTGAGCTGAATGAAGATACTAGTGGGCGGATGTGAAGAAACTTGACACTCGTAGAGTCCAGCATCTCGCTGCTGCACAAACTTGATTTGTAACGTCCAGTCCTGGAATATAATTTCAAGAATCAGAATAGAAAAAGAGTATAAACTTCTCAAGATATGAATGATTTTTTTTACCAAAATGAAGTATTGGATACACCTCTGCTCTGTTGACTATTCCAATCGAATCGATAGACTAGGCCTGCCTGAAGTCCGTTCCCTCCTATTATTTTTGAACCACCTGGTATATCGCAACGATATCAATATGGCTCGAATAGGAGATGACAATCTATTTTCCCATTCTTCATGGAAAAATTACAGCTTGAAAACTTGATATGGAGGCTGAGCGCTATTTTGAATTTATTCCATTCTCGAAATCTTCTCATAATTCTCTACAGTTTGAACTCATAGACTTAACTTCAAGATTCAATAGTTCTCGAAATAATACCATTTGAAAAGTGATATTTTGGTCTTTCAAAACCCAACCAAAATCTCGAATGATTCTTTCCATCAAGTTAGCTTCAAGAAAAATCGAAATGCAGAGTTTTTTCAATCATGTTCATGATTAATTGCCTAGGTCGAGTAATACTTCTGAAAGGAAATCAAATCATAGCCATAGAAGTAGAAATGATGAAATTCTGAATGCAATGCATTCATTGCTTCTGATTCCATTCAGAAATATTACTGGAGTATAAGAATTCTATGAGCAAAGATAACATGATGGTCTCAAAATATTCCAATGGTGATTCTATGTATCCATACTGAAGTTATACAATATATTCTGTGACATATATATCTGATGACACTACAGATGTCTACATTGTAGCATTCTGAAGTGGAACCCTAGAAGATTTTCATAATCATATTCATAAATTATTCTTATAGTATAGCAGATCTGAATATTGATTCAATTCTTGTGGCTTAATCGAATGAGTATTCAACAGTGGATTTTCTATTGTGGTATTGGGTATTGAAGAGCCATCAAAACACAGCAGTGAGTCATGATGTCGAACTGTCGAATGCGTTATTTCAACAGTAGTATGGCAGTTTACTCCTAGTTCAACACAAATTCATGACCTATACACAATCAACCCCCACTAGAATGTTCGAAATAATTCATCAGGTATGTCGCGAAGCTTTGTCAGTATCGAATTGAAATAATGGTGAGTATTCAATCACAAATCATCACCGTATTCACACAATTTTTTCCTGCTTGGTCTGTTGTTGTGTTCTGGAACCGCATCCACTTCTCGCAGCCCTGTGGTTTTCTATTGAAAGTAGAAGGCGTTGTAAGATGTTCTGCTTTTGTCCCGTTTTAATTAAGTTGCATGTTAACCTTAATTAAAGGACACCTTTCAGCTGGCAATGTCGCGGATGGAAATGAGGGAGACATCCAGTGAATAGGACTTGTCCTTGGGTCATGAACAGAATGCTCGAAGAGAGGAAATAAAACAACCAGGACTATTTGGAGACTGAGAGTAAATTGCTTGAATGGTAATGATGGGATGCTATGGCTAAGTGGTTACCTCGTTGGATCGGCATCAGTCACTCTGCCCAAGATGTAACCATATACAGTGTAAATCCTGCAATGGATAGTTGACTTTTAAGAATTTTTTCAACTGAATCCTGGTTCTCATTCAATCAGCATTTCAACGTCCAAAATTCCGTTTGGATGCTCATTCCATCTATAAACTGAGGTGAACTGAGTATAACCTTCTGAAGTAGTCCATACTTGGAGTGTATGATCCACGAGATGAAAACACTTTCAAAAACACGATAATATTTCAAATTCTAGTTTGATAATGTCCTTCTAATGAATCTTCTCGTCTTCATGATCTGATAGCCACTTCCACATTAGCTTTATTAGGACTATGACTGATGACTACTATGACCATTTGAATGGTCGGAAAATGTCTCAATCAGAAGTGATGAAGCAGAATCAACTCCACATCTCGCCAGTAAACTTGTGGGGAAGCATTTTCGTTTTTATCTGGTTGATGAGTATAACCGATATTGGAAGCTGACTTTCTATGAAATTGACATATCTCAGTTCATTACGAAACCAATATCCGAACTAACTACACAAATCTGCTCATAGTTTTTGGAAACTTCATCAATTGTAGCTTGTCAAGTGGTATACATGTTGTTTATCGAATCATTATAATAATAATAATAATAACAATAATATATGTCTATGTTTATCAATACAAAAATTCCTGATATAAAAGTAAGATAAAAAAAAAGTTAGATAAAAAATTATATATACACTCACCGGCGAAAAAAAAAACCGGCCACGAAAAAATGTTGCCAAATTATTCGCCCTGTAACTTTTTTAATTCTTGTCCGATTTCTGTGAAATTTCAACCAAATCGTATATTCATGTTTCGGAATGTTAGCCTGGATTTTGATTTCTAAGAAAAGTTAATGACTTGATCATTATATAGGGAAATCAAAAGTTACTCTTCCACCCTTAACTTCCAAACGCCCTATGGAAAAGGCAGAGATTATACACACCATAATCTCTGGAAAAGGTGAGTGGTCAAACTTGAGTTCATTATGTTTTGGATCGGAGTTTGTTTGTTTTTCGATAAACACACACTTTTTGAGACAAGAAACAAGTTTTTCAAGGAAGTATCGATTTTTTTTATAACTCGTTAGTGTTCAACTGGTTCCAGACACCTCACCATCACAAGGCCATCATCGTGTTTTTGAGTGATGGTTACTTAGCATAGGGAAATCTTCGGCCCTTTACAAATACCCCGACATCGTTGCTTTCTCAGACTTGCCTGTACTAGGCCTGACATCTCCCGGTAAGTCAATGTTTGCTGGGAGGGAATTACCCATGAAAATATTCCCCAACCATTCAGAGGTCGATGATTCATCTGACATTCTGCTGTTGACAAGAGCTGAGAAAGCTCTTCGGCATAATTAAACCACGTGACTGCACTACCCAAGTAACATTCTAAATGCCTAATAGTTTCGATGAGATTTTAAAGAGGTTATGTGAGCGCAAATGATAGGTCTAATTTGTTTTACCGTTACATGCCCTGGAAAAAGCAAATCGCATGTCCATATTATGATCCTATTGAAAGGTTTTGAGATACTATGATAGAACTATCGCATAAAAGGATTCGGCATTCAGCTCACATTGGTTTTGATAGGATCATTGAAATTCTTCATCTGAACTATTTACTCTCAACAACCGTCTTGAAACAATTGAGTTTCATTAGTGTCTCAAATTTGACCAAGAGGTTTTGAACTAATCCTATGATAATACTTCATAAAGCAGACATAAAACCAAATTTACGCTGGACCAATTAGGATTTGATTGAGGCAATAGTGAAACCTAATGGCATTATTTCAGCTATGTGAAAGTAATTATCGAAACCTATAAGCCACAATGAATTCATCGAAGTCAATCATAAAATATATAGGATTTATCAAGTTTTTTTCAGAACTATGTTAAACCCAAATCGCATAATATAAATGTTCGTATTTCTTTGCCTACAATGACTCACGTTGGAATGAACTCACAAGAAAGTAAATGGTGTAGATCAAGGGAAATGGTATTAACTTCAAGCGAAAAAGTTAAAGAGATCACTAATCTTGAGAATCCAAAATCAAGTCGTGAGAGCAACAGTAAATCGGAATTCTCAACCCCAAGCAATTCCAAACACTGCTTCTTTCAAGTCATCCCAACTGAAACCACCAAATAGTACCATCAACGAGTCAGAACGTAGGTAATGGAAAATACTTCTGTAATATCTGAATGGGAACTAAGATGCGCGGTAGATGACAACATTTTTGCACAAATTATGTCACATAGCGAGTTTTGCAAGAATTTGAGAAAATTGAGCATTCAACACAATATCAGGCGATTTCCACTGAGTGTAGTTTGTCTATGTTTCCTACTCGGTTTCCTAGACGATACCAATAACAAGATTCACAACTGAACACTGTGAATAACGAAAGTAGGGTTATGTTGATCATGTTGATGACATTCTTCTACTTTTTGCCACACTGCCCAATGAGCACTAGCCAGGATATTCGTGAAGTCTTATAGTTTTATGAAGACATTATCTTATATCCTTCTCAAAACAATTTTATCAATTTCGAAGCTTTGTATTGTCATACCTAGGAATGAATAGTCATAAGAGTGGATTGAAATATGCAATGAGTATACTTCAACAGAAGGAAATCGTCTTATGAAATGCCTTATTGGTTTCGAGTATATTTTGCGCCAAATTTACTTCAAGCGAGGAATACAAATTTCAAGCGAAAAATGAAGAAGATTCACTGATACACAAAAAATGCAGCGAGGGACGAAGGAATCCGGTTGGTACATAATGATTTTGAAGTAAGTACCTACTATCGTCACTCACATATAGTTTCCATTTTGAAATTTAGTAGTTTCCCTGATTTCTCATCGGATTCCTTCTGCAATAGGAGCTGATAGGAAAACTCGTGAAATTTCTGAAAGAATGCAGGAAGATTGGATTCCCGATTGATTGGAATGCCATCAAACGGGAGCACTGGAGACTGACAAAGGGGCAAAATATGTTCGTGTGTTTTGTAGACTTTTTAAATCAATCAGAAGTATCATCTTCCATTGCAGAAATGGCAAAAGGAATTTTGATAAGAGAAGACAAAATTTCATGTTGAAAACTATGTGAAATTACTATTTACTTGAGAAATCATATTCCTCCGTCTCTCGCTGCATTATTTGTGTATTGTACAGCAGCACAGTGAGAAGGCATGCTCGAATCAATGAACAGCTCAAAGAGCACGATTCGTATGCCAAAATATTGTGAAAAACTATTCCAATCCTTTGATTCCTCTGTGAAGAAATAAAAAAGTGAGGTTGTGTTTCAATATTTTACCTCCAGGGTCGGTCATCGTGCACGCGACCTATCAGATCTAGTTGATTTCTGACAGAATTACTATCGATGGTATTGCGAGCACTCATGGGATTACCCCTGAAAATCTTCCCCAGCCATTCAGAAGTCGATAATTCATCTGACCTTCTGCTGGTGACAAGAGCTGAGAAAGCTCTTCGCCATAATTAT